AAGGCACTTGTTACTAGAAGCGATGCCCTTTGCTACTAGTAGCGTCCGATCGCTCCTAGTAGCGATGCCCTTTGCTACTAGTAGCGTCCTTGTTACCAGTATTCGAGGACAATGTCCTCCTGCTGCTGGAGTATCTTTGTCGCTCGGAGGCCTCGTTCAGAGGATACAGGGTGCCCTTGTAGTGCTGGAGTTCCTGCCTTGGGGATAAACCTCCTTGGCAAAGAAACCCTTTGAGATTTCGCAAGATCAGTAGCTTTGGGAGCCCACGGCATTTGTACTGCTTTTCGTATGTGATTTTGCTTCGAGACTGGAGGGTGACAATGGGTGACGCGATCTCCGCCAGATCTTCGATGGCCTTCTAAGACGTTTGCCCGAGCTCAACGCAGATGAAGCCGCATGGAGGCCCAAGTGAAGACGCACGAGACCGGAGTCAGAAAATGAAGCACAGCTTGCAGGTCAGTATGTGGACGCAGACATGGCTTCTAACACCATGGGACCATCGATGTGTTAATTCCATTGTAAGGTGAAATCCATGAATAACCTTGCAAGATGCTAAAGGATCGTGACACCAATTATCTCCCGCTCCGGAGCCGTTTTGATTCGTTTTTTGTGCTATCGTGTCGCCATGTGTTTGGCGCTATCTCTTCGTCCCACTTTTTCGGACGAAGAGTCTCGAGGAGTTGCTCCGATGGGCTGAGGCTTTGTACCTCACCGCCTGTTGCGCCTTCTATGCCTCAGATGGTCGAGCAGTCCAAGCGATCGCCAAACTCGCAAGGGTAATGCGTGCCTTGGCGTTACAGGAAGCTACTAGGAACAAAGGGCATCGCTCCTAGGAGCAAGAACGCTACTAGGGGCACTCCTGGCCTTACTACTAGTAACAAGGACGCTACTAGTCCGACGTGCCAGATGTGGTTCATGACTGATGTTTTTCTTCGTTCGGGTCAGTACTGGGGTTGTACGGTCCCAGGTTTCACCTTGACGAACCACGAACCCCTAAACGTTCTCGCATCTTGTTCCCGAATGCGCGGCGAAAGGTTTAGGGTTTTTGATGTTTGTGAGGCTGTGTGTTGATGTCGGATGTCGAAGATTTGACTTTCAAAGATCCCAGGATACTGCCGTTTGCTTCGCGTTTTATGCTACTGCTCCACGGCGCTTGGGCAGCATTCTCGGGCGGAGTTATGGCTTGAAAGTGCATGTCTTATGGTTCGTCAAGTACCTCAAAGAAGCTCATGGTCCATTCGTAGAAAATCATTCTCAGGAGAAGCTAAGTACGCCTTGAAACCCTTAAGACAGCGTTCTGATCAGGCTTTTTTTGGTTTGAAGCTCTGCAGAACACTACTGCCTGTTGAAAGGTGTAAAGCAGGAAGAATAACCAATGTGCATGTCCAAGATTGTCCCATGAGAAGTTTTTCTTGAGGCTCCTAGATGCTCGATCAGGTTGCCTGGAATAGTTCTGCTCAATGACCATGACCAGGGAGTAAAGCTCAGAATGGCCCACCCAGCCCCAGATGGCAATCAAAAGCACCGAAACCACGATGGATGGCTTTCATGAAGATGTGCACGCCCAGGTCATCCCTTCCCAGAATCAGGCTTGTTTCGCGTGGACACTCAGCGGATGTTGGCTTCCAGGAACACTGCTAGGGTCGCTGTGCTTCGCTGTGGTTGCTGTGGTTGCTTCGCTGTGCTTCATTTTGATCCACAGCCACAAGGTATCATATACCTGTACAGCGTGTACAGGCCTGTACATGATTGCGAAGGATTTTGCTGTGAGGGACCTTGTTTGCGACAAAAGGAACAGTGCCAAGAAAAAGGCAAGTGAAGGTCCAATGAAGAAAGAGGACACCTTATGCACTTAAACCTTAAGCACTCATCTTAGATCTTCGGCTCCAATCCCACGTCCGAGGTCAACCGCTACGATGAGACTTATTCTCTCACTGAGCACTGGCGAGAAGCGGTGACTCATATGCGTGCCGGACGCTCGACCAAGTGAAGACCAGTGGTTTGGTTGAGGGATTCAGTTTAGTTTCTCGCTACTAGTAATGCACTTGGCTACTAGCGATGCACCTGCTACTAGCTTCTTGCTATGCCCCATTGGGTGGCATGGTGAAAAAACATCCCCCCCTTGGGTTGCAAAATGTCCATGGCCTATCAGGGTAACAGACTGACATACTGTATCCACCTGTGCGGATCAACAATTCACGGATGTCAACACTTGGGACATATTAATCCAGCTCAGGGCAAGTATCTGGAACCATAGCTGGATAGAAGTTGCTTTGCAGGTTTCAAACCACCTTGGCATGATGTATCATGGTGTAGGTTCCGAAGGGACAGATACACTGAAGACAGTCCACGAAGAGAGGCCAAGAAAAATGCAGGTGCCCAAGTGAAACTTACTTCCAAGAAGTTACTAGGAGCGAAGGGCATCGCTCCTAGGAGCAAGGATGCTACTAGGGGCTTCTGGCCTTACTACTAGTAACAAGAGCTCGCTACTCTTTTCTTTTCTTATTTTGTGTCGACCTCAGAGGTGGAGGTTGCAACGACCTCATCTTCAGCGGACATGCCTCCGTCCTCACCTTCTGTGTGTTGCTCTACCAGGCTCCAGAAATGGCCGGACTCAAAACCACGCGGTTCTGGGCACGATCGCATGTCAATGGTCAACGCGAAAGCGTTTCCTTGGGCCTTGAAAACATGATCGCGATGGCCTCCAACCTAGTAGTAGTAGTAGTAGTAGCAGTAGTAGCAGCAGCAGTAGTAGTAGTCTCCAACCTACTAGCGATGGCCTCCAACCGTTGGCTTAGGCATTCAAAAATCCGAAATCCATGAACATCAAGACCTGCAGGATTTCGGTGCCCCACGCTGGTTGCAGGGCTTCCTGTGGTGTGGGGAATCCCAGCTGCGCAAGCTGGACGTTTCCAGAGCAGACTGGACCACGAAGCATCGTTCGTGGCGATGGCCTCCACCCTAATACCTGTCTAGTCGTTCGACTCACCCCAAAGAAGGAGTAATTCGTGTCAGATCTGCCCACACTTGATGACCCATGTTTGAGCCCCCCAGATGAAGCCCCAACAATCGCGATCCAGGCCGTCTTGCACATGCTTCCATGCGGATTGTCGGGAAGCCTGGCGTAGCTATCCCACGAGTGGGAGCCAAGTTCATTCCGATTGTGGTTGTATTCGCTGGTCCGGTTATCAAGGGCTTGCGAAAGGCTTTGGTAACAACACGTATGTAGAATATACAGTAAACCTATGTAAAGCTAACTCTAAGCGTGGACCCTGCACAAAAATGCTTTTTTGAAGTGACTTGTGCGTTTCTGATGGTGTGCTGCTGCGCTGTGCTTGGTGAGGTCCAAAGCCGTAGCCACCTCTCAGTGGACATTGTGGTTGCATTCCTCTTGGCGCTTCTGTTGCAGCTTGGAAAGGACCAGCTTCATGGAGCTCAGCTCCAGGCAAAATGTGCCACTAGAGAGGATATGAGTGTGATCCATGTTTGGTCGAAGGCCAAAGCCAAGCCCGCACAATGCCAAGGCTAAGACTTCGTCTCGTAGACCTTAGACCAAGGCGACCCAAGGTACCTCAGAGTTTGACAGTCCCACGAGAGTGTCACATCTATATAGTGACTCCCCGACCTAGGTATCATGTGATCCCAAAGCCACGGAAGGACCTGGAGGCGGATTTCAGGGGAATGGTGCATGGTGAAGCACATCTCGAATTGCTTCTCTCCTGTGGAGTTGAGCTAGATCTAATACCAATTCCCCGGTGCATGAAGAAAGACCAGCATGTGGCCCTATTTTTGCCGTGTTACAGTGTGCATATAGATTCCTTGTGCAATACATACTACAAAGAGTTCATGAAAGACTTGTTGGCAATCGAAGTACTAAAGCCTTTGCTGCCTTGTCGATAGGTTTTTGGTGCCTCCTCCTTGCGCTCCTCGGCCTTAGGCATTCTGAGGGATGCAGCATGCAGCACCAAGATGCACATGTAGAAGAAACATGTTTGTAGTGTAGGAACTGTTTTGTGACACAGCTCCCATCTCAACCACCTGCAGTCTTCTGAAAAACGGCACCCCAAACCTACCAAGCTCATTTGTGACACCAATCCTGGCTACTTGAGACGCGGGACATTCCAATCCAGCTTCTGCTTGTATCTGTTTCCAAGTTCCCAGCATCTGCGTTCATCCACTTTCGTCCTGGCAGCTTGGAGCAGTGCCCTCGTCGCGGTGCTGGCATTCTTGGCAGCGCTGCTGGCGCAGCCAGATGCTGGGCCACTGAGCACCGCCAACCAGGCTCGATTGGCGCAGGCGTGGGAGGGCAAACTAGAGGATGGTGCGTTGATTTTTGTGAGCCACTAGAGGATTTCTTGCTATTTGGGTCTATCATGTGGATCTCCTCTTTGATCCCTGCAAAATAGTGCATGTCCAATCTTTTAAATATGTTTCAGTGAATTTCAGTGATTGGGAAGCCTCCATGATACGTGTCGATGCTGAAAGTTTGATGTTACCCATCAGTATCAAGCTAAATCATTGCTAGTAACAAGGGCATCGTTACTAGGAGCGATCGGACGCTACTGGGGGCGCTCCTGGCCTTACTAGCAAGAAGCTATTCGGTTGGAGGCGCTAGGTGAGAGATGCTCTGTGAGGTCTCCGTGGCTCCGAATGCCACCGCGTCGCCGCGCATCTTCTGCGCGATGCTGTGGCTTGAAGCAAGGTTTTGTCTATCTCAAACTTATCTCCTATTGCCAGCCGGTCTCGAAAAGCTGAAAACGAGTGGTTCTCTTTTCAGATGGGAAGACCTGGGATGACTTTCGGCCACATGAGGCACATCGAAACCTCTCGGCAGGCGGACCCGGGGGATTTGCGGAACTGCCACGGTGCGGTGGGATTTTCGTGCCACGAGGGTGTCTCTCCAATTCATGGACTTCCACGTCGATTCTGACCGGAAAACGTCGTGTTCAGCTTCCATTCGGAAGGGCGGTGAACCTATCGGATTTGGTCAACCACGGCCTTTTCGGTTCCAGCCAGAGCGAAAGACGGATCTGGCGATGGCGATGACGGAGAAGGAGCCTTTGGTGGAACGACCACCACCACCATCTGCAGGATGTTGCTGTTGTTGCTGCACTCCACCCAGGTGGGATGGGCCAATGTTGTTTCAATGAATTTTTGTTTGTGCAGAAATATTGTATGTCGTGCTTATGTGTTTTTTGCAACCTTCATAAGGAACTGATTCGAGTTCTTTGTGTTCAATCGTGTAGAGAAGAGAATCAGGACGATAAAAAAACTCCTTTGATGCTGCAAGGCACATGAATGATGCATTCGTGGACAAGTACTTGGATGGCGATATACAGCCTGAAGCCCAGAAATCCATTGCTGGGTTCGATAAAGTAATCAGGTGTGTGAGTGTGTGACCTGTGAGCAGTCAGGCCTTCTGAGAGAATTGAGCATTCCACGCATGGCAGGTGCACAAAAAGCTGAAATCCTCACATCTGATGCCTACCTAGACGTTGTCCATCCTAATAGCAATGGCCTCCAACCTACTAGCGATGGCCTACCTAGACGTTTTGTGGAAGTTAAATCATTGCCATCCAAAAAAAGACGTACCATTTTCAGTGTGGGTTCAATGCGAGACATTCCTTCCGGTCACCAGATGCCCGGACTATGTTGCCTTGCCGGGCTGAGAGAGGTCCATAGCCTGGTCAAAGAGGAAATGAACATGTAGGAATAGAGGGCAGAGAGAAGAACCTTATGTTTCGCAGGTGATAGATATCCACGAACAGATCTAACAGATGTGATGCGAGCTGATGTGTAGCATATGTCTTACGAGTTCTGCCTAGACTCTTGTGTTCACCCTGCACTTCTATCATCGTCTAGCCCCCTTAGCTCAACCCCGACCTTTGTTCCGCCTGACCTGAGATGGGGCTATTGGAACATGCCTCCGCGGGATGAGAACAATCATTTGTTCAGCAAGTTTTTTTATTTTTTGCGCAGAGAAGCTTTATATAGTGACAGTGTTTGGACAGTCCATTTTGCTATGCATTTGCTTTCACTTCACAAGAACATAGTCTCCCGCTAAGGAGAAGACGCTGGCAGAGTGCCGAATGCGTCTCAAGGACAGGATGCGCTTTCCTAAAACTGCACCTTGGCATATCTTGGCCACCGATGGAGCATGTCTTCTAGCCCTCATTGAGGAGCCCCTAGTAGCGTCCTTGTTCCTAGTAGCGATGCCAGGAGCCCCTAGTAGCGTCCTTGTTCCTGCCTAGGTGTCAGTTTCAATAAAGAAATGATAGAGCGCTTCCGACAAGAGAAGCTCATGAAAATGTGGAGGCTGATACAATTGTACCTGAGGACATCTCGGGAGAATTAAACATCAGATAGATTTAGAGTCACAAAAAAAAGAACTAGTAGCGTCCTTGCTCCTAGTAGCGATGCCCTTTGTTACTAGTAGCGTCCTTGCTCCTATAGTAGTAAGGTCAGGAGCCCCTAGTGGCGTCCTTGCTCCTAGTAAGCCGGAAGCTCAATCTTCACGACATTTCGCCACTCTTCTCTACGCCTCAGTCGATCATCAGATCGGAGTCCGATATGGAGATGGGCTTCGCGAGTGCGAAGGACATGATCCAAATCATGTGACTCGCCTGCAGGATCTGAAGGTGGCCAGAGGCCATCGCTACTAGGGTGGAGGCCATTCCTCTTATGCCAGCGCCCAAAGGATTTGAAGTTGCCATTGGCACCATTGGCCCTGCGTTGGGGTATAGTTCTGCTGACGGCCGGTTTCCGCGTTTCCGGCTGACTTTACCGAACCGTGGGCCCCGCGGTTCAAGGGTTGTAGCTCCCGTCCGGAGACGGCGAGTCGCTACGTCCAAGACCAAAGCCTTGAAGACATTCGAGGGGCCATGAAGCTCATGCGATGCCCTTTGCTCCTAGTAGTAGCGTCCTTGCTCCTAGAAGCAAACTATATTAGACCTTATGATATTTTCTTTGTTCTTTGTTTCTGGCAGCGATGGCCTCCAACCTAATAGCGATGGCCTCCCCCCCCACTAGCCATGACCATGAAACAACTGCGTTTGAGGAGTTCAGATGGATCTTTCAAATTTGCGGCAGCATGCGGCAGTTTCCGTAGACCTTTCAGCACTCCTTTCCCCAAAGGATTTGAGGAACAACGCCTTAAAGGATCTTAAAGGGATGAGGAGTCTCACACACAGCCGGTTGAGGTATGATGGAACAAAGAGTCCACTCTTGGAGGAAGTGCCTGAGCGATTGCGAGGCGCAGTCCACCTCTCAAAGTTCCAAGGATAATGTTATGGTATTCAAGCCAAACAAGTTGAATAGAGAAATCCAGGTCGGAGAACAACTGAAAGGCAAACAAGATGGAGCTCACGAACCCGAATGCAAACACGTTCGAAAAGCTACATATGTCCAAATGACACTCTTGTAGGACACTCTTGTGGGACACTCTTGTAGGAAACTCTTGTGGGACACTCTTACGGGACACTCTTGTGGGACACTCTTGTGGGACACTCTAGTAGGAAACTCTTGTGGGACACTCTTGTAGGAAGCTCTTGTGGGACGCTCTTGTAGGACACTCTTGTGGGACACTGTTGCGGGACACTCTTGTGGGACACTCTTAAGGGACACTCTTGTGAGACACTCTTGCGGGACACTGTTGCGGGACACTCTTGTGGGACACTCTTGTAGGACACTCTTGTGGGATACTCCTGTAGGACACTCTTGTGGGACACTCTTGTAGGAAACTCTTGTGGGACACTCTTGTAGGACACTCTTGTGGGACACTCTTAAGGGACACTCTTGTGGGACACTCCTGTGGCTAACTCATTTGGGACACTCTTGTGGGACACTCTTGTGGGACACTCTTGCAGGACACTCTTGTGGGACACTCTTGTGGGACACTCTTGTGGGACACTC